ACACACACACACACACACACGCACACACACACACACACACACACACACACACACACACACAGAGCACCCACCACCACAATTGATGCATGTCCTTCCCCATCAGTGAAGATCTCTTCTTTTTCTTCTTCTTCTTCTTCTTCTTCTTCTTCTTCTTCTTCTTCTGGTTCTGCTTCTTCCGCTTCTGCTTCTGCTCCTCTTCTTCTTCATCATCTTCTTCTTCTTCTTCTTCCGCTTCTGGTTCTGCTCTTCTTCTTCGTCTTCTTCTTCTTCTGCTTCTTCCACTTCTGCTCCTGCTCCCCTTCTTCTTCGTCTTCTTCTTCTGCTGCTGCTTCTTCCGCTTCTGCTCCTGCTCCTGCGCCTCCATTCTTCTTGTTCTTGGTTCCTCCTCACAGAGAGAGAGAGAGAGAGAGAGAGAGAGAGAGAGAGAGAGAGAGAGAGACATACCACTCACCTTCCCATTGTACCACTTAACCCCCTGCCCACTTTGCCCCACCCATCACCTTCCCATTGTCCCACCTCCTCCACCCATCACCACCCACGTCCTCCACTGTCAGTCCATCTCTTCCGCCCATCACCATCCACCTCCTCTCCCCATCACCATCCACCCCCTTCCCCCATCGCCATCCCTCTCCTCCCTCCATAGCCATCCACCTCCTTTCCCCATCGCCATCCACCTCCCTCATGGTCCCACCTTCACCCATTCCCATCTATCCCTTCGCCCATCTTCCCAGCTACTGTTCCCATTGTCATCTACCTCCTCTCCCCAAGGCAGTCCATATCCTCTCCCCAAAGCAATCTCCTGTCCCCATTGTCTTCTACGTCCTCTCCCCTAGGCAATCTACATCCTCTCCCCAATGCCATCTCCTCCTCCCTCATCGCCAATACCTCCCGCCCCCCTCCTCCCCCTCCACCCACCCCTACCAACAAAAAGAGAAAAGAGCTCGGAATCCAACTTATCTCAGACAAAGAAACAGACATTTCTAGTTGGCCGGTTCACCTTGGCCAGGTGCCCGCCAGGTGGCTGGTGGGCAACCCACCGACAAAGGTAACCTACCTGTTAAGCCCTCTCCCCACAACTGCTGCACTCAATGTAGCAACTGAAAATTTAGTGCGGTAGTCTTCGTGCTATCGCTATTGTGAGCAATGGTGTTACTCTTGTTTCTTTCTTTCTTTCTTTCTTTCTTTTGGTTGTTGTGAGGAATGAAATGGTGCTACTCTTTTTTCGGTGTTCAGAAAACTTCAGACAAATATATGTTTGAATTTTGAGCACTTACATGATGAAATGTGGCCTCTGCTCTTTGAGAATTTCTAGGATCGCCTCAAAATTTATCCCGCCTGCACGATTGAAGCCCTGGTGAACATTCAAGCTCAGGATGCGTATTCGACTGCGTAAGTCTGGCAAGGAACCAGAATTATTTGGCTTCAACTCCATCCTCACTGCAATGCCTATAGCCAAGATAAGGACAATGAGGCCCAAAAAAACTGCCAAAGCCTGTTCACTTCCCACAGGTTCAGCCCGGACACAGGAAAAAACAAGGAGAGAGAGAGTTTAAGAAACACATCAGCATCACCAAGATTCCATGAATGTTTTGGTGGGACCGGGCTCAGCATTCAGGAATTGGGGAAAACAAAACGAAAATAAAAAAAACCATGTTGTCAAATGTTGAGTAAATTCAAAAAAAAAATTCGTACAAGATACGGAAGGGCCAACTTTCCTCCCTGGGTGGTACGAGCACCTCAGGGGTCAAATTTCATGCCACCTCAGGGGTCAAATTTCATGCCACCTCAGGGGTCAAATTTCATGCCACCTCAGGGGTCAAATTTCATGCCCCCCACCTTATTGATGGCACCAATCTATTCGGGGGGGGGGGCGACACCTGCTCGGACGCGAGTCCAGCATCCCATAAGCAAAAAACAATTGTTTCATGCCAATGTGGCGATGCCACATACGAATGACAAACCGGCTCTCCAGCCCTTGAGAGGTCCCTAAAGCGCTGAGAGGTCCCAAGATAAGGACAATGAGGCCCAAAAGGTGATCCATCGGTCGATGGGTAGCATGCCAGGCAGGAGGGTTCCCCCTTTCCGCGATTTCTGTATGCCATCAGCAGGGCTGTCTGGACTTTTACTCATCCGCTCCATATCAGGACAGCTGGACCAGGGAGTGCAATGTATATATTGATCTGTTTCCCAACAAACTACCGTCTTCACCCGAATAGAACGCCCCGGCATTATAGTTGTGCATTTTGGGCACCTTTCAGTCCAGAGCTATAATGACTGGGCGTTCTATTCGGGTGAAGACAGTAGAAATCAAACAAAAATCATGAGCAAGGAAGTAACATTAGTTGCATGGGTGCGCAAAAATGGTGCAGAGATCACGAAAGACTGAAAGCATAACAAATGCTCAAACATCCTCACAGGTGTTCTCCGATCATAATAAAGTAGAATATGTGTTCAGTCGCAAGCATTCACTTGTGTTATGAAATTATATTAGGAGTGAGGTTGTGGTGGTCTCATGTTCGTAAAATTAACCAAAGGTCCAAATCACATATGCTGCCTTTTTTTTTTTTTTTTCCAAAACATACAAAACTTACACAGTCATGTACAAAATGAGAAAGGAAGCAGCAAAGTTGAGCAAACGCTTCCGTGTTTTGGCACAACTCTGTTTTGGAAATTATAGAGTTTCAAATTCGTCTTTAAAATGAGCGTCTCCAAAAAGTTCGGGGACTTGGGACAGGGCCCGCCTGGGGGCGGTAGGATTTTTTTTAATTTTTCTTTTGTTCAGTGCCACAATTTTTTTTTTTCACCCACGACGGCTTCGCTCGCAAAAACAAACGCGACAGGTGATGCCAGTAAAGGTGGAGGCAACCGAAAGATGCAAACTCTCTCTCTCTCTCTCTCTCTCTCTCTCTCTCTCTCTCTCTCTCTCTCTCTCTCTCTCTC